TTCATAGCACAATCACAACTGGTTCCCAGTGAATTTTTCGGTCGGATTCCTCGCAGTGAGCAATTGACGACAAAATGCGATCATTCAACACATTTAGAAATATATACTTGGCATGAAGTTATTCAAAATAGCGGATGTAGTGATTCGAGAGCCTAGAAAATGAAGTCTTCAAAGTGATGGTAGTGCTTCGATGAATTAAAATGAGTTAGAATGAACGATTCATTAATTTTGTATTCTAAAGTGAATTTTGATCCTTAATCAAATGAGATTCGAAGAATATTTCCAGCGTCCATAGTCAGTGTTTATTTTATATTAAAATGAAAAGCGAGGATGTTGAGCAACGAGATCGTAGATAATGAATTAATTGAGGAGCGCAACTCAGTTGGTCAGAACACAAGCATAGAAGGCATCTGTAATATGAGGTTTTAAGATTCACTGTTCAAGCGAAAAGCATGAGACAAGCGCAATTTCTGATATTGCTTGTAAACCAACTACACATTCATTATAATATCGACCAATGTGAATATGGATCGGTGCTGTCCTTAATCAAACTTATTTTGCTTTCTGTTCAATTGATGCATCATGCAAGTGTCTTTTGCTACTAGGTGAAGTTCGCTGTGCGCATTGTTGTGTATATAGATATGCTAATTGTGTATAAGTATATAATACGTTATGTATACCTTGTAATAATCCAGAATGCAATTGAATTTCATTCACAATTCAAACGCATTTCAACGAACCTAGACTGAACAAGTTGTGCTTGTTTTGTCCGGAATAAGTTTGCTCTAAACAAATGTTGTAACCACATGCTATCAGTAACCCATTCTTCCACTAACATGTGCGCATGAACAACACTACCCTCATTCCTACAGTGTGCATTAATTTCAGCAACAGTCGCAAATCGGCGAGATATTCGGCAGGGTGTCAGCAATAGTGGCTATCGTTCCATGAAACAGCCCAGCCTAGATGACCGCTTCAGTATGGAAAACGCCTATAGCACACCAGCTGATAATCTGTCACCGGACTGGCATGGTTATGGTAATCCGCTATACGGAAATAATCGAGGTTTGACGGCCACTCACGAGGGTATGCATGGTCGTCGGTATTATGATCGAGGTTCAGGACTGTACGATAAAGCTGGAGGAGCGGATCGATCCGAAGTGATCGTACCAATCGAAAAACGACAAACGACAACTTTTCAAGACACAATGAACCATCGCCAGCATGGCAGCAACAGCAACTTAGATGACCAATTACGATTACCACTGCAGTCGAATGGTACTCTAGGAGGGGACTATTATCATGAGACATTTGAGGAGAAGTTCGAAGAGAAATACGAAATCGATGAACGTTCGGCATCGCCATCTGATTCAAGGGAACTTCTTTAACGCAACTTATCGCTTTATGAATAATTTATGAATGTTTGTTTATGTCATCAACAACTGAGAATGATCTTGCTCTGTCTTGTTACGATGCAATTCTATTGCATGCACAAATATTACATAGCAATGGATTGTTGCAATCTCGGCAAAACAATCGCCTCTGGCATGAGTGTTAATGTTCGAGCAATCCTTTCGAAGAAGTCTTCTATATAAGTACAATGAATTTTTGCGTATTTTTCAACAAGCGAGCATTTCCATTTCATTTTCTTTCATTACGCAGAAATATTTTCTCTTTTATGATCCAAAAACAACGAAAACATAGAATCTTACTGTACCCCAATAATTTGCTTCAA